GCGCGGAGGGGAGGCGCGGGCGGCGGCGGCGAGGAGCGCCGGGTACCGGGCCGGGGCAGCCGCGGGCTCGCGGAAGGCGCGGATGATGAACAAGCTCTACATCGGGAACCTGAGCCCCGCCGTCACCGCCGACGACCTCCGGCAGCTCTTCGGGGACAGGAAGCTGCCCCTGGCGGGACAGGTCCTGCTTAAGTCTGGCTACGCCTTCGTGGACTACCCCGACCAGAACTGGGCCATCCGCGCCATCGAGACCCTCTCGGGTGAGTACTGCCGCCTCCCCCGGCCCTGCTCGGCCCGGACGGCGCCCGCGGGGAGGCCGAGTCCGGCGGGCGGCGCCCGGCGGGGTCCCGCGCCGGGACGCTCACTTCACGCGCCCGACCCGCGAGTGCCGCCGCCGCCCGGCCGGCGCCCTCCTCAGTCCCAGCCGCGGACCCCGGGCGCCCCGCGCTCTCCTAGTGCCCGAGGCTCGCTCGCTCGCGCTCTGGGGGCGCCGCGTGCCCCGCTGCTCGCCCGAGTCCCCCGCCCCCACCCCAGCCTCCCGTGCCCCGTCCCCTGACCTTCCCGTCACCCCACCGGTGCGGACCCCTCCCGGGTCCAGCATCCCGTCCTCCCGGGCCAGACCTTCCTCCTTGCCGAGCCGCGTGCCTGGGACCTCTCGCCCCCGGCGTCCGCCAGCCGCGCTCGCCCTTCCAGCCCCCTCCCCACCCGGCTCCGGGACCCCGCTCTCGGCACCCCTCGGCCCCACCCTGCCGAGCCCCTCATGCTCTTGGGGCTCCCGAGCCCCCCGCCCGCGCCCGCGTTCTGCTCCCGAGCCTCAGTCCCCTCCTGCTGTTCTCTCCAGCGCTCTTATTTTTCCCTGAATTTTTTGTCCGATTTTATTGAGAAGAACTCGGGGCTGGGGGCTCTCCGCCACCCGTCCCCCCGCCTCCCGCCCGGCCAGAAGCACCTTTTTACGAGGTGCCCTGTCTCAACTCGGTGGGGGCCCGGGCTGAGAACCGGGAAAGAGACGGCCGGGGGGCCGCGAGCGCGCTGAGCCGGGACGGAGTCGGAGCGCGGCACACACTCCGCGCGCGCTCGCCGCCGCCGCTCACACGCGCTGCCCGGAGCCGCGCTCGCCCCAGGCCGGCCTGCGGCCCCCGACCCCCGGCCCACCGGAGCCCCTTTCTCCAGGGCGCGTGGGTGGGGGCGGGGCGGCAGCGAGGCCAAGGTGACACCCGGAGCGGGCAGGCGCGGGCTCTCGCCGCAGCGGCGCAGCCTGGGGGCTTCGGCGCGCCTTCCCGGGGCCACCGGGGGAGCAGAACCGAGGGTGGGGGGATCGCCGCGGAGCCTTCGCGCCCCGGATTAGCGGAGTGGGAAGGTGGGGGCCGGGAGAGGAGCGGGGCCGCGCCAGCCCTGCAGCTTGAGTTTCAAATGAGCTCATCCTTTCAAATTGGCGCCGCTCTTTATTAAATTTGTTTTTCCGGTAATGCCACCCACAGCTCTACCTGGGGTCCGACCCAGGCTCGCACCTCTTCCCGAGACCCGGGGCACCCACCTTTCTTCCCGCTGGGCACCAAGTTTGCCCAGCGGGAGTCGGAGAGGAGACCCCTTGAGGGCGCCCGAAGGCGGAGCCCGAGCCGGGAGTTGTGTGCGCGCCCCTGCTAGACCCCCGCGGGTTTGAGCTCGGGAAGGTTCTGAGTATTTTAAATTTCTGTTTTAAAGGTAAAGTGGAATTGCATGGGAAAATCATGGAAGTTGATTATTCAGTCTCTAAAAAGCTAAGGTAAATATACAGTACTTTGTTTAGTTTTCTTTTTTTTCTGTTTTTTTCTTTTTTCTCTTGCTGGGTTGGTCTTAAGTACAGAAAAAATGCACTTAGCTTTTTATAAAACGTGTTCTTACAGTTTTACAGAAGTTTGTATTTGCTTTCATAGGGGAGATACATAGTTTAGAAAGTTAAGCTTTTTTAGTTTCATTATATAAGGTGTTTACTGTACTTGGAAACTATCTGATGCCTAATTGGGGGTCGGGAAGGCGAAGATTAGGTAGGTTCGGTTGGCTTTCGGGACCGTGTAACTTGTTTATCACGAGTTATCTCCCACCCCCCACTTCCACGCCCCTCACTACCCCCAGCACAATGCAACAAATGCTTGTTAAGACTTCCTGTGAGATGTGAAGAGTAAATATTTACTTTGTCAGCTCAATTGCTTAGCCAAACTATGCGATTAATTACTTTTCTTTTTGAGATTAATGTTGAATAATAAAATTATTTAGTAAGGGGTCAGTCTTTTGCATAGCATTCTAAAGAAGTAGGCTTGTTTGGTTTGGATGGTAGTGAAAAGCTAGGCTTTTAGTCCCTGAGACAACTGAGCTTTACTTCTGAACACGTTTTGTTGTTAGTGTTGCTTTTTAGCCATGTTTGAGGCTAAACAGACAGTAACGGCAGAAATGGTTACATTAAATGCAGTATTGTTAATGGAGGAGTGACATGTTTTGTGGGGTTGGTCTTCACAGCGATTTGCTGGCGTGCGAAATATCTACCGAGGAAAGAATGAGGGAGAAGATCTTGGGTTAAAAGTTTACTGTGGACTTTAAATTTGGACCCTTTATTACACATTCTCAACTCTTCTACCTCACCCTTAGTCATAAAGTAGCTGAGTCGGAAAGGCTAAGTGTTTGATTTACTACCTTTACAATTTGCATTAAGTCAAGAGGGTAGTCACTTACTTGATTTTTGCCAGAATTGAATACATTTTAAAACTTAGTTTTGTAAGTGCTTGGTTGTGTTGTTGAAGGAATTTGTAAAGATTATGAGCGAACTTCCAGATACATTTTTAATTTAATCAACACAATATCTTTCGCAAATGATTCTGTGACACATTAAGAACCGACTTAATGTCTTTAGAAAAAAAAAGTGAAGTTAGTTTCTAGTTTTGTCTCCCATATGAAGCTGCTTCTGTATGTTGGAAAAGATGTAATGTGTGTAGCTGATTGGTTTAAATAAAGTATCCTTGATTTACCAACTTTTCTTCAATTTTTTATTTTTTTGTGTTTGTTAGAAGTCCAAATGGAAGCTTTCTGTTAGACTAAGTTTAAAGTACTCATCTCGTAACACTTGAAAGTTTGATGACAGCATTGAATAATGTTTGAAAGAACCATTGAAAATATTGGATGCACTGTGTTTGTATAAAGGTCTGGTTCTATTGGCCCTCTAGGTTGTTGTGCATCCTTTTGTGAGTTATAATTAATAAAAATCACTAGATTTTTAACTTTGGTTAGTTGGTTCATGTTGCAGTGTACGTTGTTGAATTTGGCAATATAAGTGGAACACTGGTTTATTTAAAGTCATTAACATCAAGTAAAATTTGTCAACAAATGTATTGGTTTTTAGCTTTTTTCTTTCAAAATGCAAATATTTGCTGTTGGCTGGAGTATGATTTAAATGATTGTGTTTGTATAAGTTTAGAATTACAGGCATGTCTCAGGTTTTTAGTGTAAAGAACAATCTGGGACGTAGCCCTACTGGTACATGTGTCTTTTAACATATTGGTGATATGAAATACCCAGAAGGTAGATTGAAATGTGCTCTGTATGATTCACTATTCTTGAAGATGTTTAACATACCAAATGTATGCATAAGCTGCTGCTGTAGAGGAGCTGTGTCATTTCTATTGGATGGCCTTAATCTTTTTTCCTTTCCTTTATTAGATTAAAATGCAGAAATTAGTTGCTTGTATGCCGGCTGAGGGGGAGACAGCTATGCCTGGTACTGGGAGCTGAGTTCAGAGTCCTGAGATGAGGCAGCTGTGTGTTCTCCTGTAGTACCGGGCTACTTCCAGGCTGGTGGCTTCCTAGAACCTGGGGGGACTGTGACATTTGAAACCAAAGCTTTTATACGACGACTATTATGGTGTACTTTTGTTGCATTTCTGTGAAAATTAACAAGTTAGAAGTAAATTTGTGGGCATTAGATCAGTTCTATATGCGGTTTTGTGTTTTAGATGAAGTGAAAATGTGAAGAAAACAGTCATCCCTGTTGCTTGCCTGCTTAAAAAATGATTCAACAATGGAATGCTAATTTTCTGTATATTGTGCTTATTGCTTTGATTTCTCAAGAAGCAGTTTCAATATCTACATGCTAAGTGGATTTTTTAAAAAAAGATAATGATAGTTTGGAGTGAGATATTTCTATCTTAATTTATGAAATTATTGGTATGTCATTTGCTTACCAGTGGAGTCTTTGGTTAAATATTGTTGCAGCATCATTTTATATGTGCTGTTATGTAGTAGACAGACTAGATATCATTATTTTCTCAGTAAAGAAGAGTACATTCTTCTTTTTGCCACATGAATTTTGTAGTTAATGCAAATTAATGTAAATCACAAACAACACCTATTTCTCTAAGTTGTTTTCAATCTGTTAAATAAAAATCCTTGGATTTTGTTTTTTTCCTGTTCATATTTCTTGGTAGTATGTATGGCTCAAAGATTTATTAAATGTGAAAAGACTGGTAACCTCTGAAATGCTATTTAAAGTTGTAGAAACTTCCTTAATAGAAATTTCATTTGTGGTATTGATCTAAGTTTACTTTAAAAAAAAAGAAAAAGTCATGCATAGGTATACAGACTTGTTGCATGAAGCTCTTGAGCTGGGGCATGCTGACTTGAATGTGCCTTTGTGTCTGAAGTTGAATAAGTCTGAGAAAGAAAACTTTGAAAAATGTAATTCCTTCCCACGTTTAGGAAGTAACTAAGTGATGCTAGGCATGCTTCCACTGAGATGGTGAGAATACTGTGAGGTGTAGTGTAGGAAAAAAGCTATGAATTTGGCTTTCATGAGTTAAAAATCAGTAATTGTGTTCTCTCCAATGCAAATGAATTTGGTCTCCTATAGGAATGTTAAAACAGTATCTCAATTGTGTTTTGCTTGTATGTACTACATTGTGTATAGTTGAATTAAAAAAAAAAAAAAAAAACCCTCACCAACCTCAAGCCCTCCCTGCAACAAAGGCTTTTGCTCTATCAGTTTTTAATTTTCTGGAAACAGAAAAGGCTTTTTTAATCATATGGTTTTCACTTCTTTCAAGAATTTGTTGAATTAGAACTTAATGTCTGAATTTAATTATTATAGATTTCATGTGTGATTATAACACGTTAATGTAAAATATGTGAGACCAGACTTTAGAGTTTTGATTTGCTTTTGGAATTGGACATTTAGTTTCCTCTTTTAATAAGGTTAATTTTAATGCCCTTCTAGTGAATGTACATTTTTGTGATCCTCTAAGACATAACTATTATAGAAGCAATAAAGAAAAAAATTACTTGATAACTGAGGTGATGATACAAGTTTAAAACTCTAGTTCATATTTTTCTAATCATTTGGTTTTTATATTATTCAGCATTAAAAATGAGTAAAATCTACAAATCAAAATAGTTTCTAATTCATTAAATATCAATTTTTAATTGTAGAGTACCAATTTATGGAAGTATTCAATAGCTAAACACCTAAATGTTAATTCCAAAAAGTATGTAACACATTTGCCAAATTGTGCTTTTCAATAGTATTTCCTTGTAATTATAGCTCATAAACTGACCAGAAATATAATCTAAGAGTTTTGTGTTTTGTTATGTTAAACTGAGATTATTATTTAATAGATGAGGGGGAATTAGTTATGAATGTGCAAAGCTTTTTATACATAATGGTTTAAAGTACAGTATATTTTTAAAAGAAATACTGTTTAACTTGAAAAAATTAAAAGAAATTAGAAGATGGGGGACTAAGCACATAATTAAAAACTAGGATTTCAGTATTATTTTGAGTAGACTTGTAGAGGTTTTTCCAGTACTTTTAGTGGCTTGGGAAAGAATGTAAATGGTGTTGAATTGTGTGTAAGATAGAGCAGTGACCTGGCTACATTTATTAAAAGGCAGAAAAGCTGTGAAAAGAGGTTGCTGCAGGAACTACTTATATATGTTTGATAATTTCTATACTTTATAAATATTTGCAGTCTACAACTGAATCACTCTTCTAGATCTGGTCATGAGTCTCAAAAGTGGATGAGCCATTGGTCAGAGTCGTGAGGGGCTATTACTGAGCAAAGTGTGTCATCTCTCTGATTCAGTGGGGTGTGTGCAAGTGTGTGCCTGTTTTGTGGGGGACAGTAGTTTGAGACAGATGGTATCAAGGGGGAAGAGGAGGAGATTTTATTGAGCAACAGTTGCTTGGATTTCAGTCCCTAGGTGATTGAAACTTGTGAAGGCAATCGAGCAGGAGGGTATTTGCCTCCAGTGGTGCCTGACCCTGGGCGGTGGTTCCCCTCGTGGAAGTGGAAGTCCTCGCAACCACCTGTGGTGGCTTCTGCGGTCCCCTTGCTGAGAGCACTGCCCCATGGGAATCTCCTTTCTCGCCCTGTAGCTTGCATTTCCCCTCACAAGTGATTCTGTGGAGACTTTGATGACCTATACGTCATTTTTTAAGTGTTAGAAAATTTCAACTTTGTGCATTTTAATTTAGAAAAGCTTATACTTTGGAAAGCAGTCTTCTTTGCATAACAAATACTGAGTTTCTTTAAAAGCAGCATAGCGTTGAAGTGGTTTTTTTGGGAAGCTATTAAAAGGTTGCATTTAAAATTTCAGAATATAGTTTTTAAAGTTATATCTATTCACTACAAAAGGGTCTTTGATTTTCTTTTTGTGTGAGACTAGTGGGGCGCAGCTAAAGCAACTGAAAAAAATTTGTGCTCCCACATTTTTAGTCAAAAGTCTAATCTCTTGAAAGCTATG